TCTAATTTGACTCAAGTACTCAAGGCCATGGAGTTTACCTGATACTAACGAACTGCAGATAGCATTTATTTCTTCTTTGTTAAGAATTTCTGTAGAAACAACCCCATTCCAGAATTCATTGTTTTTCATTGTCAAAAAACGGATGTATTTTAAAAGTACAAAAATGTACTGACGAAGAACGTTTCCTTCCACTGAATTTGTTTTGAATTTGGCCCATTTCAAAACTGCATTCCAAAGTTCAACTTCTTCGACTGGAATATGGTTCAATTGTAGTATCCACTTTATTCCATCATAATTCACATCCAAAAATCTAGCATCACATACTAATCTTTCTAGATTATAGATCACAATTGAAGCCATTTTGCTCTTGAGACTTGGTGTTACACGACAGACTGGATGTGAAAGAGTAACAAATATGTTCTCAAATGAAAGTGATGTTTCCATATCTTTAATTAATTCATTCTTCAAATCATCTACCAAGTACTTTTCATAAACATAGAGAAGTTTTGCCTTTTCCTCAAAAGTAAGCTTAGGTATTAACAGATGACTTGCTCCATAAATACATATTAAAAAGTTTCTGAATGTTTCTGGTTTCACGTCAGTCACTCGGATATCGCCTTTTTCAGCCACTTCACCTTCCCCCAACATGGTTCTGAAAGGTTTACTGTAACCCATTAAAAATTCTCTCATAACTCCAATTCTCTCTAGTGGGCCACTATCACAGCCAAGGACAAAGAAACAATCATGTTTTGCTTCTGTAAGCCAGTATTTAACATGACTAGGTATTTGTGAATCGTCCATTTCTTATGGTCTTAAACAATTCTGACAATTTATGTGGACTTAGTTAATGTGCAAAATAAATGAATGCTTCAATTATAGGTGCTTACAATTGACGTGTTGATGCTGATGGGCGACATACCTTCAGACTTCTTTTTGTCCCAATGATGTCTTGGTTATTTTGTTTCACATTTATATCTGTAACAATCATAGATTTGTGTTAGTCCCTTTTGCCATTTATGCATGCATTTTTGTATCGTCTGAAATATATTGTAGTATTTATACACTTTCAAAAGATGAGAAAGACAGACTAGCTCCAACTGCAGTCCAACACTCCTAAATATGAGATGCAAGAGTGTGAGTGTAACAGTTAAGCGAGTACAAGTGAATAATACATATCTTATACTAGCTGTTGTACCCGTGCTTTACAACGGGAAGAGGACACAAAAAAGAAACATTTTAATCTTTACCCAAAGACAGAAACTTCAGAGCTGTGACAAGGTATTTATATTATATTATAAAAAAATAAAAAATCTTTACTTCTGTTGCATATAATAGTTACACATCCGCCAGGATTTTAGAAACAAAATTCAACTTTTATGGCCTTAATAGAAACGTTTAAGTTATGACTTTTAAATCTGATAAGTAGTGGATACCACCATTTTGGTTTTGATTAATTTTAAATCTTGTGTAGGCTGATATGAGATAAACTTACCAAATCTTTGAAAAAAACTTTTACATACATGATTTACCTTCATCTCCCTTAATTACATATCTTTATTCTCAATTTTTGACATTTTAAATTTCAATTTTGACGTTGCAAAAATACTAATTATTAAATTTAAATGAACTGTTTTTTTAATTTACTCTTCTTCATATTAGATCACAAATTCTTCCATCTTGTGGTTTCTTCACTCACAATAAATCATTAGCAAAAAATATCAGCTGTTATAAACTTTAGAAATATTGGTGTGCCTTATCAATAGTATTTCAAAATTTTAAAGAAACTATATCTATACTATAAAAAATGTCAAACAAATAATTAAGCATTAGACAGCAGACAAAACTAATATGATTATCAAAGCATCAAGGACTAAATAATGTAATAGCAAATACAGTATATTATGTTTCATTGCATCTCTGATTCTACTCTACAAAAATATCAACCCACAACTTATTATACAAAACCAGCAGTTCTTTTAATCAGTTCCATCTTCCATTGACTTAAAATTTTCACAACTTACCATTAAGTAAACATAGTAACATATATTTCATTGATTATAGATACAAAAAACACTGTATACTGCTTAGTTTTATGATATTTTCCTTGGTTTAATTTAATCAGTGGTGTGGCAAAACAAAAAATATAAATTTATCAAATAAAGTAAATATGAACTGAAAGCTATGTTAAGATAAAATAAGAGTAGTTTGTATTACCATTTGATAATTAAATGTGGTTACACATATGCAACAGGTTTTAGAACACAAAAATCTATGCACAATTTATGTATTGATGATATTCTTTAGTTTAATTTAAGCATAGGTTTAGCGAAACACAATTACTAAATTTACCTAAATATACATGTAAAAAAACAATAAGATGTGCAGGTTATGTTAAGTTAATCTAAGACATGTTAAGCAGTTCTAATTTTTTTCAAGTAGCCTCCAAATTCATACAAACCATCTATAGATTGCAATTTTCCTACTGTTTTCCCGGTTTGCTGCTACAGGGAGGGTAACGAAGTGTGATTTTTAGGAAAATATTATTAGCTTAGTGTAAAATAAATAAATATGCCAAGTTTGATAAAAATATATCCATAAACAAGCAATATTGCAACAGTTTACTTATCCTACTAATATTACAAGTAAGAAAGTTTGGATGTATGGATGTTTGTGACAAGTAAACACGAAAAATACTAAACCGTCAAGGTTGAAATTTGTTATGATGATAGCTGACATTCCCAATTAACATATAGACATATTCTTACCTCAAAAATCCTTTCGGGCTCCGCCCCAGTGGCTCTTGAGTTTCTCATGTTAACTTTACGAGCATTCATATTTAAAGGAATTAAAGAATTTTGTCAGCCGTTTCAACTACACAAGTTGGTTCTATGATGTTAGCATTTAAAAGTTATAAGGCTTACCAACAGGGTGCAGCACTATTATGTTTTTTGCATTTATGACAACAGCTAATTTGAACCAACTATACAGTGGCAACAAATAGTTGTGGTACACAATGAGAACGATTTTTTTTATGGTTTAGGTGCAGTGGTAGAACATTAGGGCTATGGTAGATGTGTGCTACATTATAGGATACCGTATAAATTAAAATAACAAATTTTCTTAAACCATGTCCTCTCCCATAACTGTAATAAACAGTTTATACTTATATGCCGACCCTGTACGAAGGACGGGTACTCTGCTAGTACTATTATAAAGAAGAGGTGGTGTCTGACTGTGCGTCTGTGTGTTTGTATGAGATAATCTCAAAGACTACTGAACCGACTGGGCTCAAACTGCACACAAATGAAGCTACAGCTCCGAGGATACATATAGAACCATTCCCGCTTCGATATTGTCCTAGGGCTCTGCCCCGTGGGCTTTCAAAAATTTGAGGCGAGAGATTTAAAAGTAAATATTGATTGATGGTATCCATGGTAACAAAGAACAGACATACAAAGTTTTAAAATGTAAACATGCAGAACTAACTTTCAAATGAATTTTGATTTCACAATTCCACACAGCTGGTTCAAACATATTAAATACTGCACGAGTATTAGAACAGAGAGGGTAAGGATTATAAATTTAAAATAATGATGTCACTAGCGCGAATGTAAAGATTATTTAACATTACTTAAATGGAGCTGTCAAACTATATTTTAATGTTATTTCTTTAGTATACTGTATGATTCTTTCAGTTACTTCATTTATTTATGTTCATTGATTTATTTTGTTCTATTATTCTGTGTCTGTTCTAATATTTGTGAAATGCTGTAGTAATATTTTACAGAGAATAATTCGTTGTAAAAGAAATCATTCATGGATATAGGAAATCATTAAGATTTTATAATCATTGTTGTATCAACCTAGGCCCTTAATTTTTTAATTTTTTTTTGTGCAAACAGTAATATAATTCCCCTGCCGCAGCAAATATATAGACTGAGTGAATTTCCATTTGAATTTCACAAAAATATGATAGAAAATTACCCTATTTCCCATTCTATTTTCCTATTTGGAACTATTGTGATAGCTCTTCGTTTATAGTGAAAACCATTAAACACATTCTTTTATTATACCTTAAAATCCATCATTGGTTTTGTATAATAGGTAGCCTAAGTATTCACGTTATGAGTTAACAAAAACGTACTATTATCAAGTTCAAGTTAAGTAATACAAATAAATTTTCGTTTCTAAACTAAATGGTAGGAGTGAAACAAGTTGGCATTTTCAATGGACCAACTTTTTGTCTCTTTCGCAGCCTGAATGTACATGGCATACTTTTTTATACATTATGGTTAATTTAGTGGCGTTTAGCACAGCTGCTTCAATTAAATCAATATTTTAAAAATAAGCTGTTTGCAGTTGACTTTTAAATCATTCGAAAAAGGGTTAATATTATTTTCTATAATCAATGGTAACCTCTCTTTTCCCATTGAGTTGAGTTTGGATACTGCAAGTAGTTGGAATGCTGTTGTAATATCTGAACCTTTTATGATGACGATCTGCGAGTGTGGCTGGTGGTCCATGTTTGATTACAGTGCCTGGTCATATTATTTTTCCCATTTTAACTTAATTAATTAACTTGCACTTGCTGTTAACTTTGTTTTAATTTAGACAAGTAAGATGTGTTTTTATTTAGATGTGTTTTGCTACAAACCTATTTAACCTAAGCCAAAGAGGATTTTATTTAACTATTGTATACATACATTTGACTTATATTTGCTTGATTTTGTCCTCTTCAACTGTCTTTAATAATCACAGCTGTAGGATGTTATTATTGTTAGCTTAGTTGTTATGAGCCTGCAGTGTTGATATGACAAATGTTTGTGTTTCTGCTTTAAAATTGTATTTTGATTTAAAGTTAACTATTTTTATTAAAACTAAGTCTTAAATTGATATATTTACTAGTACAGTTTCACATAGGTGAATATTAGGAACATTTAACACTTAAATATGCCTAATAATGCCAAAGAGAAAAAGTAACTTATCTCAAAAATCTAAAAATGCCAGAAGAGTATCGACGAAATGAAACAATAGAAGAACGAGAAGCACGCTTGCTGAAGAGCACAATAACAACTGCTTCACGACGAGCTGCTTCAACGCCTTCTCAGCGTGAGGCCCGACAATCAGCAAACGCATATAGGACAGCTGCTTCGCATGCTGACAAAACACCTGCTCATCGTGAGGCCCGACAAACAGCAAATGCATATAGGACGGCTGCTTCACGTGCTAACGAAACGCCTGCTCAGCGTGAGGCCCGACAAACAGCAGATGCAGATAGGACAGCTGCTTCGCGTGCTGAAGAAACGCCTGCTCAGCGTGAAGTTCGTCTTTCTAATGATAATGAAAGACATGTGAACAGAAGAGCGAACTAGACACCAGTGGAACATGAAAATGATTTAAGACACAGAAGGGAAGAACGAGCACGTTTTCTGCGCATGAACTGGGATCCCTTTAGAGGTATTTGTTTTTCATATAATACAGATATTCCCTATAAAAGTCATGGTCTGCTTCAACTTGGGAGCATGAATATATGTTGCAGACATTGTCGTGCTTAAAGTGGAATGGGGAAAGTGCTAGACTTTGCTGCGCTTCCGGTAAAGTAAGACTTCCAACTATTGACGAGCCACTAGAACCATTAAGAACCCTTTTGATAGGAGAAACTACGCCATCAATATCATTTTTAAAGAAGACGCAGCAATATAATTCCTGTTTCCAAATGACGTCATTCGGAACTTCTGGTCCGACAATTTCACACAACTTTCCTACTACGTTTACTGCTCATGGCCAAATTGACCATAACTTTGGATCTTTATTGCCAGCTCCTGACCAGCAACACAAATTTTTACAAGTTTATTTCATAGGAGATGAAACCTTAGAATCTGCAAGACGTCACGAAGTAATCTCAGGTTTATCATATGATATTGTACATGCTATACAAAATTTACTTCACACTCACAATCAACTCATCAACACCTTTAAAGTAGCTATGGAACAGTGGCCAGAGGAGGACCTCAAGGTAGTAATTCGAGCTGATAGGCGTCCTCCAGGTGAACATGAGAGGCGGTTCAATGCCCCAACGACAAACAAAGTAGCTGCTGTAGTTGTCAATGATGAAATTGAAAGTAGAGACATTGTCTTGCGTAAACGAGACAAAACACTGGTACCCACTTAACAGAAGACGCGGTCCTGAAGACGGAGGAAAATAAGCAGAGATCACCATAGCAGCTAATAGAAACAATCATATCATTATACTTAATTCTTGGATTGTACCATTCAACCGTGTCCTTTCCAAAATGTTCAATGCTCACATAAATGTCGAGTATTGCAGTTCGGTAAAGTCAATCAAGTATGTTTGTAAGTATATTCACAAGGTAGCGACCAAGCAGTTTTCAACTTACGAAACAATGATGTGCAAGCAAATATAGAAAGAAATGAAATTGAAATTTACCAGACCGGCCGCTACGTTAGCACAAATGAAGCTTTTTGGAGAATATTCTCCTTTCCTGTGCATGAAAGATATCCTACTGTCACACATTTAAGTATTCATCTTGAAAATGGTCAACGGATATATTTCAATGAAAACAACATGCAAGAAAAGCTACTAAATCAACCTAATACCACGTTGACTGCATTTTTTAAACTATGTGAAACAGATCTATTTGCACAAGGTCTCCTTTACCCATATGTACCTCACTACTACACCTGGAATGCATCTACAAGAGAATTCAAACGAAGACTATTGGGACAACCTGTTCAAGAATATCCTGATGTCAAGTACTCAGCTGTTATAGGACGTGTATACACTGTTCATCCGAATAATGTGGAATGTTTTTGTCTACGTATTCTTTTACAAGATCTGTGGTCCAAAATCTTTCATTGATTTGAGAACTATTAGAAATACTGTCTTTGATACGTACAAAGAGACCTGCCAAGCTTTGGGTCTTTTAGAAGACCAAATATAGAAGAACATACTCCAAGAAGCAGTACAATCAATCTCGCACGTCAGCTACCTTTTCTCCATAATGATAAGTTCATGTAGAATGTATAATCCAACAGAACTCTGGGAAACATTCAGAACCCAAATGTCTGAAGATATTGTGCACAGGTTTCAACTTGAAGAGGCGAATGATATTGTGTACAATGAGGCACTTCGTGATATTGAAAAGAAGGTTTTTGAAATGTGTGGAAAGAATCTAAGTTTTTTTGGACTCCCAAATCCTCAGACTGAAAGCAAACTCAGAAATATTCAGAGAATTGTCATACAACACCAGTGAGAAAATTTACCTAAGCTTACTAGTCAACAAAGAAAAATTTATGACACTATAATCAACAAAATAGAAAACGCAGAGGATGCAGTATTCTTCCTGGATGCTCCTGGGGGCACTGGCAAAACATTTCTTATTAGTGTTTTACTTGCTGCAATTAGACAAGAAAATAAAATTGCAATTGCAGTAGCTTCGTCTGGTATAGCGGCTACCCTTTTGCCTGGAGGAAGAACAGCCCACTCTGTATTTAAGTTACCACTAAATTTAACCAATGTCGAAATGCCAACATACAACATCCCCAAAGATTCAGAAAGGGCTGCTTTATTGTGTCAATGCAATTTAATAGTTTGGGATGAGTGCACCATGGCCCACAAAGGAGCTTTAGATGCTTTCCCTTCGTGACATTCGGGTTAGCAACACATTGATGGGAGGCTTAGTTGTTTTGATGGTTGAGGACTTCAGACAGACACTGCCTGTAATCCAGCGTGGCACTCCTGCTGATGAAATAAGTGCATGTTTAAAGTCCTCACGCCTATGGGAACATGTTTCAAAACTCTTAACTCACAGAAAAGATGAGGGTTCTCTTAAAAAATGACAGCAATGCCGGCGAATTTGCATTAAGCTTGCTGAAAATAGGTGAAGGTAAGATTCCAACAAATGAACAGCAAATAATTGAGCTACCAAGAAATTTCTGCAAGTAAGTCGACTCAACTGAAGATCTTATTTCCTCCGTGTTTCCAGACTTTGAAAAAAACTACCTTTCAAGTGAGTGGCTTTGTGATCGCAGCATTTATCACCCTTAAATGAGACAGTAAACACTATAAATGACGCTTTGCTTAAAAAATTGCCCTCTGAAGATATTACATTTTTTTCAATTGATACAGTTGTGATTCAGTTGATACAGGAAGGTGCTACAAACTACCCTACAGAATTTCTTAATAGTTTAGAATTGTCTGGAGTCCCTTCACACAAACTCAAACTAAAAGTTGGCGCAACTGTTCTGTTGATGCGCAACTTGGATGCAACAAGACTTTGCAACGGTACCAGATTGGTTATAACAGAACTAAAAAGTAATTTGATTAGTGCCACAATCATGACAGGTTGCGCTAAAGGGGAACACGTAATCCCACGAATACCAATAATCCCGACAGATCTTCCGTTTCATTTCAAAAGAATTCAGTTTCCCTTGAAACTGGCATTTGCCATCACTATTAACAAAGCCCAAGGGCAAACTATGAAGTTTGTAGGGATAAATTTGCAGAAAGATTGTTTCAGTCATGGACAACTTTATGTCGCCTGTTCAAGAGTCTCGAATGGAAAGAACCTTTGTATATATTCCCCCAAAGGAAACCAAGTTGTCAATATCCTACTAATATTATAAATGAGAAAGTTTGGATGTATGGATGTATGTTTGTGACAAGTAAACGCGAAAAATACTGGTCGGATTGGGCTGAAATTTGGTATGATGATAGCTCACATTCCCTATTAACATATAGACGCATTCTTATCTCAAAAGTCCTATCGGGCTCCGCCCCAGTGACGCTGGAGTTTCCCATGTTAACTGTATGAGTAATCATATTTAAAAGGAATAAAAGAATTTTGATAGCTGTTTCAACTACCGTACACAAGTTGGTTCTATGATATTGAATAGCATTAAAAAGTTAAAAAGTTTACCAACAGGGTGCAGTACCATTATTTTTTTACATTTATGACAACATCTATCCTATAAAGGTCATAAAGGTTAAATTTTGTTTTTAAAAGGCTTATGTGTAACTATTTTATCAACAGACTGATGTGTAAAGATCAAAATGTTTCTGTTTTGTGTTCTCTTCCCGTTGCAAAGTACAGGTACAACAGCTAGTTGTATATAAAAATGTTTTACAGAAATGAATTAAAAAACGTTGTTACCTGTTTTTATATATCATCACTTTTATTTCTTCATACTAATCGATTACCCATTCACAAAATTAAGTTATATCTACAGTATTTACTAAATAAGTTTATCCAGAAATACAAAAATTAAAAGCAATAGCAGCAACCACTGCAGATCACATCCTGGTATGCAGTATTATTCTTGAAGTACCTATATTAAAATACATAAGTATTAAGTATTTGTATTTCAAATTAGCGTAAACTATAATTTTTATTTTAAATGTTTTTCATACCAAGTCAAGTACCTATTTCAAATTTGTTTTGATATTTTGAAGTAATCACCCATGCAGGTTCAATATAAAATACTTGGCCAGAAAAAACTCAAAGCTCACAAGTTTTTTGTAAAGTCAAATAGACCCAAAAGTTTACTGCTTGCCTGCCCCTACAATACTTCTTTTCCAACCTGTGCAATGAACGGGTACATAAGCTAGTTTAAATATAATCTAAGAATTGTAGAGGGGGAAAAAACAGAAACAGAAACTGATGGTTATAAAGGTGACATTAAATTGAGGTTCTGCTGTACTTTATACTTTGCCTGACACACCAGTGGGCCTAGGCATATTGTATAGAATGTCTGTATTAAACAGGGATGTAACAATCTACCCTGAATAAATGGCATACAGTAACTAGGTGGCGTTCGCAGAAGCATCCACAAAATTGAGCGGAGTCATCAAGGGTTCGTGTTATATTGTTTTTGTCATACTGCAGTAAAAACAGTAGTTTTTAATGCATGCGTTGCGGGTCTAAAGTAGCATTTTTACTCTTTAGGGAGTAAATATCGTTTTTAGTCTCTATAGAGTAAACATTGGTTTTAGCCTCTATGGAGTAAAAATCAGCTGTTGTCAACTCAGTTGTAAATTTCTATTGTAAACGGCTGCATGTATCGAAATATGTATCGATTCGTGCTTCGTAATTATTTTAACCTACAGTCTACAGTATCTTCCCATAGTATTTTAGCATTGCAGATACATTAATCCATTCCCACACTCAACACTGCTCACCTTTACTACTTCCTTCACCACCCCCTACATCATGGACCTGTATCTCTCTCTTCCCATAGCATGTTGGGAGTGGCAGATACATTAATGTAATTGCCAAAGACAGTTCCCACACTCCACACTGCTCACCTCACTACTTCCTTCACCTCTTCTTACGTTGCGGACCTGTTTCCCTCTCTTCCCATAGAATTTTAAGATTGTAGATACCTTAATCTAATCGTCAAAAACAGTTCCCACACTCCGGACAGCTCGCCTTGACTACTTCCTTCACCACTTCCTACGTCTCGGACCTGTTTCCCTCCCTTCCCTTAGCATTATTGGATTGCAAATACCTTAATCTATTGGTCATAAACAGATCTCACACTCCGAACAACTTGCCTTTACTACTTCCTTCCCCACTTCCTTCGTCACGGACCTGTTTCCCTCCCTTTCCATAGCATTTTTGGATTGCAGATACCTTAATCTAATCGTCATAAACAGTTCCCACACTCCAGACAGCTCGCATTTACTACTTCCTTCACCACTTCCTACGTCACGGACCTGTTTCCCTCCCTTTCCTTAGCATGTTAGGATTGCAGAAACCTTAATCTAATCGTCATAAACAGTTCCCACACTCCGGATATCTTGCCTTTACTACTTCCTTCACCACTTCCTACATCACGGACCTGTTTCCCTCCCTTCCCATAGCATTTTAGGATTGCAGATACCTTAATTTAATCGTCATAAACACTTCCCACACTCCGAACAACTCGCCTTCATTACTTCCTTCACCACTTCCTACGTCGCGAACCCGTTTTCCTCCCTTCCCATAGAATTTTAGGAATGTGGATATCTTAATCTAATCGTCATAAACAGTTTCCACACTCCGAACAACTCGCCTTCATTACTTCCTTCACCACTTCCTACGTCGCGGACCCGTTTTCCTCCCTTCCCATAGCATTTTAGGATTGCAGATACCTTAATCTAATTGTCATAAACAGTTTCCACACTCCGGACAGCTCGCCTTGACTACTTCTTTCACCACTTCCTACATCGCGGACCTGTTTTCTTCCCTTCCCATAGAATTTTAGGAATGTAGATACCTAAATCTAATCGTCATAAACAGTTTTCACACTCCGGACAGCTCGCCTTGACTACTTCCTTCACCAATTCCTACGTCGCTGACCCGTTTTCCTCCCTTCCCATAGAATTTTAGGAATGCTGATACCTGAATCTAATCGTCATAAACAGTTTCCACACTCCAGACTGCTCACCTTTACTAGTTCCTTCACCACTTCCTACGTCACGGACCTCAAGCTAGTGTTGTCATTTGATTATATTTATGATCCATACCGTTTCTGTTCTAATATCTGTGAATTAATGCTATCAGCTATTTCTTTATCTACTGCATTCAAAAGTCAACAGCTGTTCATATGTTTTTGTTTATGTGTCAAATACTGCTTCCATAAGGATTACATTGAAACTTTGTGACCCAGTGGGGCGGATTCCTGAGAGACTTTTTTAACGCTATATAGATGTTGGCACTCACTGATATGGTCTTTATCACTATGCAAAATTTGAAAACGATTGATTCAGCCGTCTAGGAGGAGTTTGCGTATTACGAAATGCATAAGAGTCGACTTATAAGAGCTTCGCTCACTCCGCTCAATGAATTTTATTTCAGTAAGGCCTGATGAGACATACACATGCAAACTAAAATTGAAAATGGAAGGAAAAAGAAAATAACCATTTTTAAGTGTTATTTTATTACACACAAAATGTAACACTAATAGTAGATAAAAAGTCAAAAGTTGAGTATACAATAATTAGAATAACAATAAACATAAAATTTTATGTCACTGTTGCTGATTGTTATTTCTACATTAGCTATGTTTTAAACAAATATTTATGAAATTTATAACCAGAAATCATCATAACAATAAAGACCCAGCATCAAATAACTATCATAATTATAATGTTTGTGTATCACACAAAACAAAACAATCCATCTTTAATGCCACTTAAATACAGCACTTTGCCTCTGCTGTTATCTTTAAAGTATTGACAACATTTACTTTTTGAAACACAGTTAACACAGAACATTAACAGTTACACACAACACACAGTTACACAGTATTTATGGAAGCTTACCAAAACATAATAGTTACCACTTGGACATTTACACATCTCCTGATTTCATCACATAGAACCAAATGAAGTTAGTGTTAGTCTCCGAATAATTAATAGATAAGAACAAAGACCATATTATCAGATAAGACTGATATAACTTTGATACAGCATCTGAGTCTAAACGGGCTGTTTGACAAAGCTTACTTAAAATGTTCAATGTCAGGAAACTATTACACTCAAGAGATCTTCAAACGATTTACTCTTAGATCATAGTTTAAACTGTAACCATATTAAATTATTGTAAAATGACAGTATTTTATGCTACTTTGATTTTTGAACAGTAAAATTTATTATTTAAAACAACATACATTCACCCAATAAACTGTAGTTTATATTACAAATGTAAAACAATTTAATAAAAACAATAGGTGTTATTTTTGTCAGTATCTAATTAAACACAACTTAGCAATAGTTTTACGACATTTTATGATATGGAATCCCCATTTTGAGGTATGGTAGGATCCAGAATGACAGAAGAATAGCTAATATTTATTATGCGCTAGAAGTTAAAAAAAATAGTTCACAAATTGTAACTTCCCAGCACTATCCTTTTTTATCCTCGTCTTGTTTTCCTCTACACCTCTTACAACATATAGAACACATCAGGTTCTAGGTCTCGAAACACTATGACACTTTCTTACAACTGTAAACTTTAAACAAGTACCTACAAACAAGTACATACAAGTAAATAAACAACACTCCTTTTGGTTTACTGACAACATTTAGAGTTAAGAAAATCAATCTTTGTGTTTCGTTTAAAAACGCACTGCATAATTAAGTGTTAGCTTTAAACAATAGTGTTAGGGACAGTAAACACCATTACATTAAATTATAATACCGGTACATTATGTTGTATTGGATCAATCAATAATGAAATTGTTAACATAATAAGACTAAATTCAATGATAAATAGGCAGCAAGCATCAGCATCATCTAGTTTGCTTAAAGAAACCTGGGTTGTTGCCAAAATAAAATTGTAGATTCAATTACATGTAATGGTCCTTAATCAGGACAAGATATAAAGCAAAGGAATAAATGTTCATTTACTCTCATTAACCTGTGTCAATGTCCAACTAAGAGTAACTAGCGCCATTGTTTTTAACCAACAGGCACTAGTTTACACACTTTTTTTGTATTTTAACAATTACAATTGCACTGTTTTCTTTAACAAATCCATTATTTTCATCGAGTAGAGAATCCCACTTATAAAACTTATAAAACCCAGAGTTTGGTTGTGAGGGACTAAACGTTACAGTAAACTTCTGGGTTACATCAGATTTTCCACACTGATTTAGGAGTGTGATCTCAACATCACTAGGACAGTTAAATTGTTCAGTTTTACCCTTACAACTAACATAAACTTGAAAATACTCATTATTCTTTTGCACCCTTTTCCTACGAACCGAGAGATACCAAAAATGCCCAGCCCAGGGATGAGATTGAGAATATTGTCTTTTCCCCTGCTCAAGGTTTGCCAAACTAACAGAGATACTAAGATGTGTTAAATGAGGATTGCAAAGATACTGACAACTGTTTATACAGTGAGATGGGGGATATCTATCAGAGCGATTTCTTGTAACTGTATTCAAATATTCTATGTCATGGGGATTGCCTGATACAAACGAACTGCAAATAGCATGTATTTCTTCTTTGTTAAGAATTTCTGTAGAAACAACCTCATTCCAGAATTCATTGTTTTTCATTGTCAAAAAACGAATGTTTTTAAAAAAGTCAAAAATGCACTGCCGATGAACATTTCCATCCAATGAATCGGTTTTGGATTTGGCCCATTTCAAAACTGCATGCCAGAGTTCAATTTCTTCAACTGGAATATAGTCTAATTGCAGGATCCATGTTATTCCACTGTTATTCACCTCCAAAAATCTAGCATCACTTACTAATCTTGCTAGATTATACCTCACAATTGAAGCCATTTTGCTCTCGAGACTTGTTGTTATACAACAGACTGGGTGGGAAAGAGCAACAAATATGTTCTCAAATGAAAGTGTATCTTTCATATCTTTAATTAATTCATTCTTCAAATCATCTACCAAGTACTTTTCATAAACATAGAGAAGTTTTGCCTTTTCCTGAAAAGTAAGCTTAGGTATTAATAGATGACTTGCTCCATAGATACAAATTAAAAAGTTTCTGAATGTTTCTGGTTCCACATCAGTCACTCGGACATCACCCTTTTCAGCCATTTTGCCAACGCCTAACATGGATCTTAAAGGTTTACTACAACCCTTTAGAATCTCTCTAATGGCTCCAATCTTTACCTCTGGGCTACCATCACAGCCAAGGACAAAGAAACAGTCATGTTTTGCTTCTGTAAGCCAATATTTTACACGACTTGGTAATTGTGAATCGTTCATTTTTTTATGCGGTCTTGTACTTAAACAATTCTAACAATTTATGTGGACATCATTTGCTAATATTTATGTGGTTTATAATCTCTAATACTATGGCTTTTTGCTCGTTGGCTTTGAAATAATTGAATTGGTTTGATTAAGGTGCTTACAATTGACGTACTGATTCTGATGGGAAACACCTTCTGATTTGTTCTTATTCTTTTTCTCTCACTGATGTTGTCCTGGTTATTTTGTTTCACATTTATATCTGTAACAATCATAGATTTGTGTTAGTCACTTTTTCCATTTATGTATGTATTTTTTGTATTGCTTGGAATATATTTTAGTGCTGTATGTAGGCCTATACACATTCAAAAGATAAGAGAGACAGACTAGCTCCAACTGCAGTCCAACACTCCTAAACATGAGATCCGAGAGTGTGAGTCTGACAGTTATGCGAATAAACAGATAACAGAAATCCTGTTATAAACCTGTACAGTAAGTTAATTTAAAAGATTCTGAAAAAAATAAACCCTGTATTAGTGAATAATACATCTAAATATATAAAAGGCAAAGCCCTCACTGACTGACTCACTCACTCACTCATCACTAATTCTCCCACTTCCCATTTACCTAGGAGGCTGAAATTCGGTACACTGATGCTTTGGGCATTAAATAGGAAAACTAAGTGGTTTTTATTCTGATCGCGCTTTCGGGCTCCGCCCCAGTGGCTCTGGAGTTTCCCATGTTAACCTTAGGATTTTTCATATTTAAAAGGAATTAATGAATCTTAACAGCTGTTTCAATTAAACAAGTTGGTTCTGCTCTATGATGTTCAATAGCATTAAAGTTACAAGGATTACCAACAGGATGCAGCACTATTATTATTTTTTTTAATTTATGACAACAGCTAATTTGCAACCAAAAGGTGAATGAGCGTAGCGAACGAAGTTCAACCTGGAGGCGAGTTAGCGTAGCGAACGAGCTAACCTGAAGGCAAGTGAGCGCAGCGAACGAGCTCCAACCTAAAGGTGAGTGAGCGTAGCGAACAAACTTCAACCAGGACGTGATTGAGCCATGCTAACGAGCTCACTTATGAAGTTAAACGGGGCAAAGCCCGCGGGTACAGCTAGTATCTATATATATAAAAAAAGTATCTGTAGTATCTGTATATATAAAAGGCAAAGCCCTCACTGACTGACTGACTGACTCACTCATCACTAATTCCCCCACTTCCCATTTACCTAGGAGGCTGAAATTTGGTACACTGATTCTTTAGGCATTAAATAGGAAAACTAAGTGGTTTTTATTTTGATCGGACTCTCGGGCTCCGCCCCAGTGGCTCTGGAGTTTCCCATGTTAACCTAATGAGTACTCATATTTAAATGGAATTAATGAATCATAACAGCTGTTTCAATTAAACAAGTTGGTTCTGTTCTATGATGTTCAATAGCATTAAAGTTACAAGGATTACCAACAGAGTGCAGCACTATTATTTTTTTTAAATATTTGACAACAGCTAATTTGAAACCAAAAGGTGAGTGAGCGTAGCGAACAAACTTCAACCCGGAGGCGAGGTAGCGTAGCGAACGAGTTAACCTGAAGGCAAGTGAGCGCAGCGAACGAGCTCCAACCGTAAAGGTGAGTGAGCGTAGCGAACGAACTTCAACCAGGACGTGTGAGCGCAGCAAACAAGCTCCAACCTAAAGGTGAGTGAGCGTAGCGAACGAACTTCAACCAGGACGTGATTGAGCCATGCGAACGAGCTCACATATGAAGTTAAACGGGGCAAAGCCCGCGGGTACAGCTAGTCTTATATATAATAACTTGACATGGTTTTTTTTATACATGATTCTGAATCAACCAATTGATGGACTTTTATGATTTTTGTCTTAAAAGAAAGATAATTTTTTAATATATTTCAGCAAATTATCGCTCAATCATTTAAGATATAAGTGGTTTACGTGTTGATACTTCCTTTTCTTGATGTTTGTGTATATGTCAGCATATAAAAATTTTGGTTGGTGATGAAAATGTCAATCAGTGTATAGTTGGTCTCTAGAAAACTGTCCAATATTCTGCAAGGTGTCAGTAGAAACTAAAATAAATTCATAACATACCATAACTATCCCAGTAGTACTGTATGGTTCAGAATCTTGGGCACTGACCAAATAATTGAAATACCTTATAGCTGGGTTTGATAACAGAATGCAGAGCCACAGATAAACAGAGGTTTCAAGATAACAGAGGTTGACAGGCAGGTACGCAGGGAATGGCAGGGATGTGCAGTGAATCCACTCTTAAAATTATTTACCATTCATACATTCATTCACACATTTAGTTTGGAATAAGTCTGTATGGCTCATCTAAATTAGAAAATCTAGATAAAATACTTACAGAACAAAAGAAAGCAATTAGAATAATAAAGAACCTACATCCAGATACATCATGCAGGGAACATTTTAAAATGCTTAACATATATAAATATTGTTTTATATGCCGAAGACACAGACAGACAGACAGAAAATCATCTTTATTCAAAATCTTAGAGATTTGAAATGCGTCAATACAATATTAATACAAAAATGAGATGAATTATTGTCAAATACAATCAAAATTAGGCCAGTCCATAAATTCTTTTATGCTGTAGAATGGCATCCTGCAGAACCAACGGGTGAGTCGAGCTTTCAAGGTTTTAGGGTTGTCATCTTTCAGCTCTCCTGGCAGCATGTTGAAGAATCTTGATCCGGCATAGGTAGGCTTACATTCAAAGAGTCCAAGGCGATGAGCAGGGAGGTTGTAGTTGGTTCTATTTCTCGTTCCATTCCATAGCTGTGTACTTCTTCATGTCGCTTGCGTTTCTTGGTTGAAGCCAAAATAATGGTTTCTATTAAACTATTATGTAGAGGCTGATTACTGTAAGTAGCTCATTGTCTTTGAAGAAACCTCTGGAACTTTCCAGCCAGTTGGCATCATACATGATTTTTAGAGCTTTTTTCTAACTTTTTTCTTCTACAACCATCATTACTAGACATGCAGATCATGAAAACTTTTGGTTGACTCTGTGCATAATCTAAAGCTGGCTGAAAACTAGTTAATTTCTAATAATCTTGTTCTAAATAATGATACGACAAAAACTGTTTTGTTTAACCTGCGTGAAGTACACAGTACGCCAATGGATGAAAGAAATCCATAATTTTTAGGATTAACTTTTGATTCTACTTTGACCTGGCATGACCATGTTATAGTTTAAAAAAATAAACTGAGTTCAAGTATATTTGCACTTAAACAATTATGTGGCGAACTAGAACGGCCTTCTCTCATACAGGCATACTGGACTTTTCATAGCCATTTAAGCTATGGGTTACTTGTTTGGGGGTCTTCTGCTCATGCAATAGTTATTTGTGTAACTAGTGGTGAAAGTGGCACTTTGCTGCACACGAGAGCAATGTTTACGCATGCCTATTTCCAAGCGTACACAGATTACGTGCATAATGGAACCACGCTGTTTTGTGTTGTTTCGTTGGAATCCTGATGTGCGGCAAAGTATAAACCGTACGGCAAAGTATAAACCATACGGCAAAGCATAAATATGCAGCAATTAGCAGCTTTCTGTACTATAAACAGTACAAGGAAGCCAAATTTGTCGGGTGACTGTAGGAAAAAGAAATTTTCAATCTGCAGCAAAGGGCAATTAGGGTAATAGCTGCTGTAGATAGGCACCATGATTGCACTGCATTTTTTAAAGAATACCAAATATTAACACTGTTTTCTCTATTTATTAAGCAATGCCTGTTATATTTAAGACCACAATTAGATCAGCTGGATTATAGGACAGATATACACTGCCATAATACTCGTCATAAATGTAATATAAATCTTCCTTATGTTAGATTTGCTAAGACTGATAAAAAAACCATTAATTTAAGCAGTAAATTTTATAACAAGTTACCACTAGCCATAAGATTACTTAGTGATAAGGATTTCAAGATTAAAATAAATAACTTTCTTTGTAATCAGCCATTATACTCAATAGGAGATTATATGTCAAGAACACTGACTCCACTGGATTTTAATTAATGTTATGTTATGACTAATTTGACGTACCAATGTATTTGCATGGAATATTAACTGGCAAATAAAATCTCATTTTCATATTAACAGTTTATGGTCAGTTTATTTTGGACACTATTGTGATATTTTTAAACTTTAAGAAGGATACAATTTTAGAACAAGAAAAACACCATTTCAACACACGAAAAAAGAATGAAATCATACCCACTCACCATAGACTTGAATTTTACACAAAGGAGCAAGCTATTTCAGAAAATTGCCAAAGAATTAAAGTGTCATATAAACAGTTGCAAATTTAAACTAAAACTAAAAACTTACTTGGTTTGCAAAGTATTATATTCAATACAAGAGTACAGTAGAACCTCGCTAATTCAAATTTCAGAGGAAAGACAATATATTTCAAATTATAGGAAGTTTGAAATATAGAGAGTTTGAATTATAGAGGTCAGAATAAATTAAGTTTGAATTATGAAGGTCCCAGTTTTAAGTGTAGAGAGTTTGAGAGAACGGAGACTAATGAACACATTGTGGAACATCAATAAGAGCATCAGTTCATGTTTCAACAGGCATATTTTTTGTTCTAAATTCGAATTACAGAGGCTTACGGTGACACAGTTCGAATTGTAGAGGTTGACTTCGAATTTTGGAGGTAACAACTCAAATTATGGCAACCAAATTCAAATTGTAGTGGCTCAAGTAAGTACAAATTCGAATTGTAGAAACTGCAATAATAAAAAAAATCACTTCGAATTATCAGGGGCTACTGTCGATCCGAGCTTTAGTTGGCAGTATGGGAAAGCCTAAGCTAATGTATTTTATATTGGGTTTCCGTACTACTAGCCAAGCCACACTGTTGACATCGGTCGTTCTACGGGTTCACTGTACAGAGCGGTGTCACAGCAACGAGAAAATCGGGCCATTAAAATCATTGACCTTTTTTGCTTTCTCTTGCGATTATACCCCTTTCAGACCCGGGAATCTTAGTCATCTCGACTTTAAGTCCTGAGCAAATTTTGATTTCAAATACTAAAATTATTGATTAGGTTTGTTTTAAAGACGAAACCTTCATAATACCATATTAACCATTTCAGTTTCAGCAATAATTAGCATTATATACGTTTAAAAACATAAATAAAACAGTCATTAACCTTAACAGTTGCCTCTTTCTCCTATCTTACCTTGACATTGCAACAA